CGTCTCAAAAAAAAAAAAAAAAAAAAAGGTTGCAAAAAATAAATAAAATATGACAGAGGAAAAAAAAAAGTCTTGGCTAGTCCTGAATTCTAGAAAGTTCCTCTTCTAACTGAAGATCCTGAGCTGGGTCCTATGGAAAGGACAGCATACTTTTGTCCTCAAAGTCCTCCTGACTGGGGACTGAGCTTCAGTCTGAGAGAAGCTATCTAAACCACTCCTAGAAGTTGTTTTTATTTGGGGCTGAACCAGTGTACGGAGCATTTTGGGGATGGTGGACCTTTGTGGTGTATCAGTTAGCTCCTACTGTGTAACAAACCACCCTAACACTTAACGGCTTAAAATAAATAAATATTTATTATAGCTCATGATTCTATGGGTGGACTAGGATGCTGGGATGACTTGGCTGGGGCCAGCTCATCTAGGATAGCCTCCATCAAATGTCTGGGGCTTCAGTAATGCCTCCTCTGGCAGGCTACCAGGATTACTTACATGATATGAAGGCCCCCTGGCAGCCATAGAGGGAAAGTCCCAATGTCCAAGTATATCCCATTGGTCACAGCAACTCACATGGCCAAGCCCACCTCAGCCTTGATCTCCTAGGCTCAAGCGATCCTCCTGCCTCAGCCTCCCAAGTAGCTCAGACTATCAGCCAAGCCCATGCTAGATCAGTCAAGTACAGCCTAGATCAGACAAGCCCAGCCTAGATCAGCCAAGTTCAGCCTAGATCAGTCAAGTACAGCCTAGATCAGCCAAGCCCAGCCTAGATTACCTAAGCCCAACCTGGATCAGCAGAGCCAAGCCTAGATCAGCCAAGTCCAACCTAGATCAGCCAAATTCAGCCCAGATCAGCCAAGGACAGCCCAGATCAGCCCAGCCCACCCTGGATCAGCTGAGCCAAGCCCAGATCAGCCAAGTCCAGCCTAGATCAGCTAAGTCCCAGCCAACCTGTCATTCATGAAAAATAACACATGATTGTTTTCAGTCACTGTATTTTGGGGTGATTTGTTACACAGCAAATTGAGTGGGTGCTTGGGGTTTCTCACAGGCTGTGTGTGTCCTGAACATGAAATTGCACCACCTCTTAAGGGCTGGGGCACAGGATCTGAACTGCCAGGATTCTAATTCAAGTTCCATGTTCCCTCCCTGGGGAGGTGGTCTTGGTTTTTGGACAGGGGACAGAGGAACCAAAACCAAAGCATGTGTCTTAGGAAAGGAGCGGGGAGTGAAGCCCACAGGATGAGCAGGGCCTTACTGCCCCAACTGGTGGACATCGCAGTATAGGTCTAGCAAGGTAATTTATTTTTTATTTTTGTTTTTTGAGACAGTGTCTCATTGTATTACCCAGGCTGGAGTGCAGTGGTGCGATCCTAGCTCACTGCAGCCTTGAGCTCCTGGGCTCAAGCAATCCTCCTACCTCAGCCTCCCGAGTAGCTAAAATTACAGGCATGAGCCACCATACCTGGCTAGGGATTTTTTTTTTTTTGAGATGGAGTCTCACTCTGTCACCCAGGCTGGAGTGCAGTGGCGTGATCTCAGCTCACTGCAACCTCTGCCTCCTAGGTTCAAGCGATTCTCCTGCCTCAGCCTCCCAACTAGCTGAGATTATAGATGCCTCCTGGGTTCAAGCGATTCTCCTGCCTCAGCCTCCTGAGTAGCTGGGATTACAGATGTGCACCACCACGTCTGGCTATTTTTTTTTTTTTTTTTTTTGAGATGGAGTCTCGCTGTGTCTTCCAGGCTGGAGTGCAGTGGCGTGATCTCGGCTCACTGCAAGCTCCGCCTCCCGGGTTCACGCCATTCTCCTGCCTCAGCCTCCCAAGTAGCTGAGACTACAGGCGCCCGCCACCACGCCCGGCTAGTTTTTTGTATTTTTAGTAGAGACGGGGTTTCACCATGTTAGCCAGGATAGTCTCGATCTCCTGACCTCGTGATCCACCTGCCTCGGCCTCCCAAAGTGCTGGGATTACAGGCTTGAGCCACCGCGCCCGGCCTGTTTTTTTTTTTTTTTTAGACGGAGTCTCGCTCTGTCGCCCAGGCTGGAGTGCAGTGGCCAGATCTCAGCTCACTGCAAGCTCCGCCTCCCGGGTTCACGCCATTCTCCTGCCTCAGCCTCCCAAGTAGCTGGGACTACAGGCGCCCGCCACCTCGCCCGGCTAGTTTTTTGTACTTTTTAGTAGAGACGAGGTTTCACCGTATTAACCAGGATGGTCTCGATCTCCTGACCTCGTGATCCGCCCGTCTCGGCCTCCCAAAGTGCTGGGATTACAGGCTTGAGCCACCGCGCCCGGCCATCTGGCTATTTTTTGTACTTTTAGTAGAGAAGGGGTTTTGCCATTTTGGCCAGGATGGTCTCGAACCCCTGACCTCAGGTGATCTGCCAGCCTTGGCCTCCCAAAGTGCTGGGATTACAGGCGTGAGCCACTGTGCCCAGCCTAAATCTGTTTTTTATTTGTTATTTTTGACTTACGATGGGTTTATCAGGACTTAACCCCATCAAGCATCTGTGTTAACTCCTGCAACAATATGGCTGGTTCCCAAATGCAGTGTCCCAAGTGAAAGAAGCCAAAACAAAAGGCCACACACTACAATTGTATTTATCTGACATTCTGAGAAAGGCAAGCATGCTGGACAGAAAACAAATGAGTTGTTGCCTAGGGCTGGGGCTGGGGGAGGAGCTGACTGAGAAGCCGCAGCAGGGAATTTTTTGGGTAGATACAAATGTTTTGTATCTTGATTATTACAGTAATTACACAGTTCTATGAATTTGCTAAAAACTTTTAGAATTGTATACTGAAAAGGGTAAAATGTAGTATATGTAAATTAGCCCTCAATAAACCTGAAAAAGTCCCCAAATGAATGTAACAGCAGGGGAATTGCCAGGGTGGGATGGAGGAGGAGGAGGAGGGGGAGGGAGAGGAGGAGAAGGAGAAGGGAGGAGGAGGAGAATGAGGAAGAAGAGGAGGAGGAGGGAGAAGGGAGGAGGAGGGGGCAGAAGGAAGGAGGATGAGAGAAAGAGAAGGGAGGAGGAGGAAGAAGATGGGGAGGAGGAGAAAGGAGAAGGAGGGAGGAGGAGTAAGAGGAGAAAGGAGGAGGAAGAGGAGAAAGGAGGAGGAAGAAGAGGAGGAGGAAGGAGGAGGAGGAGAAAGAAGGAGGAGGAAGAAGGAAGAGGAGGAGGAAGGAGGAGGAGGAGAAAGAAGGAGGAGGAAGAAGGAAGAGGAGAAAGGAGGAAGAAGAGGAGGAGGGAGGAGGAAGAGAAGGAGGAAGAGGAAGGAGGGAAGAGGAGGAGGAAGAGAAGGAGGAAGAGGAAGGAGGGAAGAGGAGGAAGAGGAAGGAGGAAGAGGAGGAAGGAGAAAGAGGAGAAGGAAGGAGGAGGAGAAAGGAGGAAGGGGAGGAGGAGAAAGGAGGAAGGGGAGGAAGAGGAAGGAGAAAGAGGAGGGGGAAAGAGGAGGAAGAGGAGGAAGAAGGAGGAAGAGGAGGCAGAGGAAGGAGAAAGAGGAGGAGGGGGAAGGAGGAGGAAGAGGAGGAAGGAGGAAGAGGAAGGAGGGAGGAGGAAGGAGGAGGAGGGAGGAGGAGGAAGGAGAAAGGGGAGGAGGAAGGAGAAAGAGGAGGAGGAAGGAGGAGGGGGAAGAGGAAGGAGGAGGGAGGACGAGGAAGAGGAGCAGCAGCAGGTAGCGACTGGGACTGAGATTCAGGGTGACTGCATAAGGGATTAACTTGAACAACCCATGTTCTCTCTATAAGGCCCTGCCTGCCTGCTGGGCACCTCCCAGGGTAAGGGCCAGCATTCTTTGGTGACACTATGGATCACACAATGAAGAAGATGCAAAAGTCATACCTGCTCTCCCCCAATGGTGTCACTCTGTAGCCATTTCCCCCCACCAGAGGGGAGACAGGGAGGAGGCGAGGGGATGGAAGAAAACTAAATCAGAGACGGAATTCCAGCCTCATCTGCGGAACGGACACAATGGTCCAGACCTTGCAGAGTCCAGAGGGGCAGATGGGAGGACCATGCACACGTGCTGAGTCCTGTGTGGGTGTCCACTTTTGGGAGCAGCCACTAGCCCACAGGGTGTGAATTCCGGTCACACTTCTTACAAGCTGTATGACCTTGGACAAGTGTTTTAACCTTTCTGGGCCTCAGTTTCCTCATTGATAAACTGAGATTTTGTGCTTCCATGAGATTGCTGTGAGATTCAATAAATGTAAAGACCTTTGTCCTGGCCAGGCACGGTGGCTCACGCCTGTAATCCCAGCACTTTGGGAGGTCAAGGCAGCAGGTCACTTGAGTCCAGGAGTTTGAGACCGGCCTGGCCAACATGGTGAAACCCCATCTCTACTAAAAATACAAAAATTAGCCAGGCATGGTGGTGTGCATCTGTAATCCCGGCTACTTGGGAGGCTGAGGCAGGAGAATTGCTTGAACCCGGGAGATGGAGGTTGCAGTGAACTGACATCACACCACTGCACTTTAGCCTGGATGACAGAGTGAGACTTTGTCTCAAAAAAAATTATTTTTTCTTATTTATTTATTTATTTTTATTAATAGAAATGAGGTCTTACTATGTTGCCCAGGCTGGTCTCGAACTCCTGGGCTCTCACAATCCTCCCACTTTGGCCTCCCAAAGTGCTGGGATTACAGGCATGAGCCACCACGTCTAGCATTGTTTTCGGAGTGGGAACTCATCGGCTTTTTTAACCTGTCCTGCAGCCTGAGTCATTCATGGACTCTACCACGGCCCTCAGTGTGTGAACTCAAACCACCTGTTCATTCTTTGGTCCTGCTTTTGTTCAGGCCCCAGGCTGCCAGCTGGTGTCATCGTAACTCACTCATGGGCCAGGGCTGCTTGGACATTCTGAAGTCATTTCTCATGTGAGCCGTGTCCAGCTGCCAGGGCCGGGTGGTCCTGTGCAGGCTGTGGGTGCGGTGTGCACTGTGGCTGATGGCTGAGTGGCAGTGCTGCTCTTACATAATCAGTTTCTCTCCTCCTTTCTCTTCCCAGAGCCAGATTTCACACTGAGCAGCTGCAGTCGGAGAAATCAGAGAAAGCGTCACCCAGCCCCAGTTTCCGAGGGGCCTGCCAGGGACTCTCTCCTCCTGCTCCTTGGAAAGGAAGACCCCGAAAGACCCCCCAAGCCACCGGCTCAGACCTGCTTCTGGGCTGCCATGGGACTTGCAGCCACCGCCCCCAGGCTGTCCTCCACGCTGCCGGGCAGATAAGGGCAGCTGCTGCCCCTGGGGCACCTGCCCGATCCTGCAGCCTGGCCACTCCTCCAGGGCCAGCCTTCCCTGACTCAGTGGCCACCTCTACTGCCCCGAGGCCATGTAGGCCGTACTTAGGCCTCTGTGGACACACTGCTGGGGACAGCGCCTGAGCTCTCAGGGGGACGAGGAACACCACCATGCCCCGGGGCTTCGCCTGGCTGCGCTGTGAGTACTGGGGGGTCCCTGGGGAGCTGCCCTGGGAGGCCTTGGCCTAGATCCAGGATCTGCTGTAACCATAGCAACCAGGGCATTCTTGCTGGTGAGAAGTTGCGATGCTTAACAGTCGGACTGCAGACATCCTCTGGGATTCCCACGGCCAGCCTCTGCCTTGTCTGCCGCTGACTTCAGGCTCTGACGGGCAAGCTGAGTGGGCGGTTCTGGCTGGGTGGGCATGGTCCTCAGGGTGGTCTTAGGTCGGGGCAGGCACTGGGGGTAGGTGGCAGCATCTCACCTTTCCAGGCTTGTGAGCGCTGGGGAGCCCCGTGCGGGCAGCAGAGGCAGAGTCCTGGGTGTGGCCGGTGGGGGGTGGGGCGGGGGCTGGTGAAAGTGTCCAGGGATCCAAGACCCACGGCAGAAGAGCAGCCAGGTGCCTGGAGAAGGCAGCCTGGTCCCCTCCAACCCTCCCTCCTAACAGAACAGAATTAAAAAGCAGAACGATAACACTGTTGGTAAAAAGAAAAATAAGTTGAAATGAGGACAGAAAGGAAAAAAAGGATCTGGAAGCCTCTCATGCCTACTGGGTGGGAGGCCAGACCAAGATCCCCTGTCTCCAAGATTCAATTGAATGGACTCAAATTCAACACATTTTTCTGGTGCCTCCCACGTGCCCACTGCAGAGTCACTGCCATGACAACAAGGACCTTGCTGTCTCGTGCCTCTGTCTCCAACGCCTGGCACAGGGTTGAGTGCTCGGGAATTGTTTGAGGTTCGGGGTATGAGCCTGCGAGGGATTCAGAGAAGAGCTGGGTCCACCCTGGCCCTTGAGAAAATATACAACGAAGGGTTGGGACATTAGGGACGGGTGGAAGGACTCAGCTGGACCCAATGTTCTGGAAGCCCCTAGGTCATGAGAAGCAAGGGTGCAGTGTGGGGGAGGGGCTGCTAGAAATGGTCTAGAAGGTGGGGTGGTGCTCACACGGGTAGACCTGGGGTCGTAAGGCCGGTGTTTCAGAGAGAGGGGCCAGTGTGAGCAAAGGTTCGGCGGTGGGATGGTGAGGCCAGGCTGGGAGCTGGTTTGGACCCAGTTGGCGGAGGCCTTGAAAGCCAGGCAAAGCGTGCATCCCTCCCCACAGCAGGCAGCCCTGGAGGATTTGAGAGCCGGGCGGGGGTGTCGTCATGATTGGGAGTTCCTCTGCTCTTGAAGATGAGTCTGGCGGTGTTTGTAGGAGTTGCTGTTGTTGCCGTCTGCACAGGAGGGAATAAGGGTCATTCTGGAGGTGGAGGTGCGAATGAAAGGCAAGGGATGCTGGGCTGGTGGCTCACGCTTGTGATCCCAGTGCTGTCGGAGGCCAGTGCAGGAGGATGGCTTGAGGTCAGGAGTTTGAAACCAGGCTGGGCAACATAGCGAGACCCCATCTCTAAAAAAAGGAAAATTAGCCAGGTGTGGTGGCATACATCTGTAATCTCAGCTACTCAGGAGGCTGAGGTGGGAGGATCACTTGAGCCCAGGAGGTTGAGGCTGCAGTAAGCAAGGATTATATCACTACACTGCAGCCTGGGCAACAGAGTGAGACCCTGTCTTTAAAAAAAAAAAAAAAACATAAAAAGAGAGAAAGAAAAGCAAGGGAGAGGGGTAAAAGCTCCAGGAGGCAGGTCTTAGGACCAGGCAAGGACTGGCTGGGGGATGAGAGAGAGGGAGAGCAGCAGATTTAGGTGGGGGCTGGTGCCCAGGGACTGGGGTGCTGAGGAAGTTGGGCTGCCATAACCAATTAGTATGCTTTGGGTGGCTTAGAGCAACAGCAACGTATGGTCTCACAGTTCTGGAGACTGGAAGTGTGAGATCAGGGAGCCTGCAGAGCTGTGTTCCCTCCAAAGGTGCTGGGAAAGAGCCTCCCTTGCCTCTTCCAGCTCCTGGTGGCTCGTGGCCTCCCTGGCCTGTGGCCTAGTCACTCAGGTCTCCCTCTGTCTTTATGTGGTTTTTCCCTCTGCGTGTCTCTGTCCGCTCCTCTTCTTCCTAGGACACTAGTCACTGGATTTAGGGACCTGCCTAAATCCAGGATGGCCTCATCTTGACATCCTTCATTTAATAACGCCTGTAAGTGGCACAGGACAGTCGAGCCCCCAAGGGGGCTTAGCCTGCAAGGGTTCTTGGCTTTGCCTGGGAGAGAATTCAGGGCAAGCTGGTGGGTAGAAGACAGCTTTACTGAAGAGGCATTACAGCTCCGTGCCAGCTCCTGCAGGGCAGGGCTGTGCCAGAGGAAGCGTACTGAGGAGCAGCTTAGGGCCGTTTGCAGTCATATTTATACCAACTTTTAATTGCATGCAGATAAAGGGGCAGTTTATGCAGACATTTCTAGTAACTTTTTGGGCCCTTGGGTCATTGCAATGGAAAGGGGCGGTAACTCCCAGACATTGCCATGGCAATGGTAAACTGACATAGCACACTGCTGGGCATGTCTTTTGGAATGCTGCTTCCGCCCCGTCCATCCCTGTTTTCACTAGTCCTCAATTTAGTCCAGTGTCAGGACTCCGCCTCTGGAGTTGGTCCTACCTCCCACTTCACAAATACCCCATTTCCAAACAAGGTCACATTCTGGGGTTCGGGTGAACGTGGATTTGGAGAAGATGCTATTTAACCCACTGCACAGGTTCAGATTTGGTCCCCGGGGCTGGGGGTGACAAGCCTCACTTGTCACTGCACATGGGGTCATCTCAGAGAGGGGGCAAGCCCCTCCTGCCCCCCACCTAGGGCCAGGAACAAGGAAGGGAGTACTGTACTCACATGGATCTTTCTTCAGCCTCCTCTCTGTCTGGCAGCTTGTTTTATTTATTTTATTTTTATTTTTATTTTTTTTGAGATGGAGTCTCACTCTGTCACCCAGGCTGGAGTGCAGTGGCACAATCTCAGCTCACTGCAACCTCTGCCTCTCAGATTCAAATGATTCTCATATCTCAGCCTCCCGAGTAGCTGGGACTACAGGCACCTGCCACTGCACCTGGCTAATTTTCATATTTTTAGTAGCGATGGGGTTTCACCATTGGCCAGGCTGGTCTCAAACTTCTGACCTCAGGTGATCCACCTACCTCGGCCTCCCAAACTGCTGGGATTACAGGCATGAGCCTCCGTGCCCAGCCTGTCTTGTGGGTTCTTACTTCTGGGCTAAGACAAAGGCAGGGTGGGTATCCTGACTAAGGTCAGGGGTGGCACTGGCTGTGGGGTTCCTGGTGTATAGAGTATGTGGGGGACAGTGGCCTTGAGGTTGGGGCTGTGCTGTCCTTGCCTGGTGCCTCTCTGTTAACCTGTTTCTCTGGGTGGGTGGAGGCAGTAAAAAAGGAAACTTACACTTAGCAGTGATGTTTGGGCTGCAGTCTCAGAGGAAGGCTGCCCAGCTAGGGGAGAGGCAGATCATCTGTGGACAGCGTTTCCAGGGCAGTCTGTGTGCCCACCATGCCAGGCTGGGAGGCTCAGTGTCATTCCAAGGCACAGTTCTTGCCTTGAGGCCACAGCTGCCGGGTCCCCAAGGCCCCAGACGGGACACAGAGAAGGGCAGCTGCTGTAGGGTTGAGGGGTGGAGTAGACGGCCAATGGTGATGACCACACAGGAAAAAAGACCCAGTGTGGACAGAGATATTGATTTTTTTAAAGAAAAGCTGAAAGTTTTAATTGTTATGTGAAATCCCTGTGGACCAGAGGTGGCCCTTGGGACACGAGCTTGCAACTGCTGCTCTAGGTCTGTGGTTCTAGACCCCCAGCCACAGCTTTACCTGGGTCCTTGTTAGAAAGGTAGATTCTCTGGCCGCGTCCTCGACTGGTTGAGCAGAGACTCTGGGGCAGGCAGGACGACCTGTGCCTTAACCAGCTCTGCTCCCATTTCTACTGCTTGGGGCAAATCCCCAAATGCACATGTGAAGCGCTCAGCACGCTGGGCTGTGCAGTGTTTAACTGTGTTATGGATTCACATACCAAAGTCAAGGTCGTGAGTGAATGGGGAAGGTGGTGTTAGAGACAGAGACCGATGGGGGCTGGTGCAGGCAGGGGAGACCCTGGCGGGGTGATGGGGAGAGAGGAGTCTCTGGGAGGCTTTGAAAGAGGTCTGTAGTGTGAAAGCGTACCCAGTGCAGGGCAAAGCATGAGCCTAGGAGGCAGGGATGATCTTGACCTGCAAGGGTGGGTGCCAAGCCGAGGGATTCAGGACTTAGAACAGAAAGCAAGCAGATATTAAAGGGCCAAACACTGGTTTAGTTTGTGTTTATCTGTCCCTCTGGCCCAATACTGTATCAGGCACAGGGGAAGAGAGAGAGAGGAAGTGCAAGATAGATTGCAAACTTGCAACTTAGGAAAAATTTGTGGGGCTATGTGGGGTACAGGGCTTGAGGAGGCCTGAGGCTTTGAGCTGATCAAGGGCACTCCGGTGGGAGGTCCCGTAGTGGCAAAGGCCAGGCAGGAGGCCTGAGCAGGGCAGGTGTGGAGAAGGCAGTGGGGAGGTAGCAAATAGGTGGTGTGGCTCAGACCAGAGGGGCTGTAAGGACAAAGTCTTCCAAGATGCTGGGGAGTGGGGAAAATCCGATCAGTAATTCCTACTCATAGCTGGGGGTGGCTCGGGAGGTGACTCAGCCTGCCTGACTGCTTTTGTCAAAAAAAAAAAAAAAAAAGGAGGATGGTTATTGCTTTTGTCTGTAACAATAATAGATATGGATTATAGAACATAAAAAATGCTCTGAAAGGCCAAGGCCAAGTGTGGTGACTCATGCCTGTAATCCCTGCACTTTCGGAGGCCAAGGTGGGAGCATCGCTTGAGCATATGAGTTTGAGACCAGCCTCGTCTCTACAGATTTTTTTTTTTTAATTAACTGGGTGTGGTGGTGGTGGTGCCTGTAGTACCAGCTACTGGGAGGCTGAGGAGGGAGGATTGCTTGAACCCAGGAGTTCGAGGTCGCAGTGAACAATGATGGTGCCACTGCACTCCAGCCTGGGCAACAAAGCAAGACCCTATTTGAAAAGAAAAACATGAAAAAATCTCCCATAGAGATTTGGTAGTCATGGTAGGAACACAGACAGTGTTGAGTCACGCTATTTTTAAGCTTCACTAAGCATATCTAATTTTTCTCATAGCACAGCCATGTCTTTGGCAATGTGGTTTTTATTGGCTACATGCATTATTATGGAACATCTAGGCCATTTCCATATTTTCACTGTTATGAAATAAATGCTGCTCTGTACATCTTTGTTCATAATTTTTTGGTTATATCTTTTTTATTTTTCTTCCAATTTATTCCTAGAAGTGAATTTAGTTGGTGATAGGGTATTGACATTTTTAAGGCTTAGTGGTTTGAAGAGTACAGATACTATTAAATCCATTAATAACAGAAATTGCTAAATTGCTTTCCAGGACAGCACTATTTGGCCAACATCAAGTATTAATTATTAAAATGAAATGAGTTGGGTGTATGGCTGGGCACGGTGACTCATGCCTGTAAATCCAGCACTTTTGGGAGGCAGAGGCAGGGATATCAACTTGAGGCCAGGAGTTTGAGAACAGCCTGGCCAATATGGTGAAACCCCATCTCTACTGAAAATATCAAATATCGGCTGGGTGTGGTAGCACTTGCTTGTAATCCCAGCTACTTGGCAGGCTGAGGCAAGAGGTATGAGAATTGCTTGAGCCTGGGAGGTGGAGGCTACAGTGAGCTGAGATTGTGCCACTGCACTTCAGCCTGGGCGACAGAGAAAGATTCTGTCTTAAAAAAAAAAAGAAAAAGGCCGGGCACGGTGGCTCACGCCTGTAATCCCAGCACTTTGGGATGCTGAGGCAGGCGGATCACGAGGTTAGGAGATCAAGACCATCCTGGCTAACACGGTGAAACCCTGTCTCTACTAAAAATACAAAAAAATTAGCTGGGCGTGGTGGCGGGCGCCTGTAGTCCCAGCTACTCCGGAGGCTGAGGCAGGAGAATGATGTGAACCCGGGAGGTGGAGCTTGCAGTGAGCCAAGATCCCGCCACTGCACTCCAGCCTGGGCAACAGAGCCAGACTCCGTCTCAAAAAAAAAAAAAAAAAAAAAAAAAAGGCTGGGAAGCTGGGTGTAGTGGCACTTGCCTCTCATCCCAGCTACTCAGGAGGCCACGGTGAAAGGACCGCTTGACACTAGGAGTTGGAGACAAGCCTGGGCAACATAGCAAATCCCTGTCTCAAAAAAAAAAAAAAAAAAAGAAAGCCCCAACGACCTAAAACCACAAACACAAAAACTTTCATTTGAATATATGAAAAATGGGCCAGGCACGGTGGCTCACACCTATAATCCCAGCACTTTGGGAGGCTGAGGCAGGAGAATTGCTTGAGCTCGGGAGTTCGAGGCAAGTCTGGCCAACATGGCGATACCGTGTCTCTACAAAAAATACAAAAATTAGCAGGTGTAGTAGCATGCAACTGTAGTCCTAGCTACTCTGGAGGCTGAGGCGGAAGGATCGCTTGAGTCTGGGAGTTCTAGGATGCAGTGAACCATGATCCCACTACCGCACTCCAGCCAGGGTGACAAAAAAAAAAATTTATATCTGATTGTTTTAATATGAATTTGTTTATCTAGTTAGTGAGTCTGATATTTTGGGTAGTTGCTGGCCTACTTTTGTTTTATTTCTGCTCTGATGGACTTAACCTTTTTTCATATTTGTTGCGAATTCTCTCCTATTTTTTCTGTTCAGTCACTTGGAAATCGTTTAGGCTATTTTTGAAGTCACAGTGACCCTCAGTGGCAAAGGATGGTAATGTTTCAGCGGTTCGTTTGTTGCAGGAAGAGACGCAGCCAAGTGTGAGATCTGCTTAATGTCCTAGAATGACCAGACTGGAAAACGCGACTGACCCGCTGGCATAGTCAGCTGGGAGGGACGCTAAGATCAGATAGAGCAGGAAAGAAAGTGGGGTGGATGACTGAAGAGTCATTTGTCAAGTTGAAACCAGAATCCAGGATGATTCGATCTCCTTGAATGTCTGGCTTGGAAAACCCAGCACCAAGCTTTGAAAACATGTCACCGGGACACCAGGGGCTGAGGCTGTCCTGGGCGGGAGGTTGTGCCTGCCTCACGGAGCGAGAGAAGCAGGGAGACCAGACATCGACCCTGGGCCGTGCTTCCTGGGGGGCTCCCGTGGTTGGCGTGGGGTGGATGTGGACCCTCTGGACTGCTCGTGCCTGCCTGATCTTGCTATTCTGGAGCCAGACCCCAGGGAAAGCATTCCAGATCCCGTGCCCGCCACCACACCTTTCCCATCGGTGCTTGTCACCTATGCAAACGGATGACGGTCGTGCTCGGCTTTGCACGTTGTGGACAGCGTGGATGAGATGGAGGGTGCTCATGTGCTCTTGTTGGGTATGGTCCACAGATATTGGGATCCTCCTTGGCATGGCCTGTGGGAACGAGCATTTGGAGATATGGCCCTTGACGCAGAGTGAGGAGTGCACTGTCACGGGTTTTCTGCGGGACAAGCTGCAGTACAGGAACCGACTTCAGTACATGGTAACCACGTGGGCACCAGCTGTGTCCCTGTCCCTGTCCCTGTGTCCCGGGGCTTACCTGGCATAGGCCTCTGGACATTCAGAGCCCTTTCTAGGACCCGTGTCAGCCCTGAGCTGACCATGGCCTGTTTCTCTGTCTTTCTCTGAAACCTACCCATGCACCTGGTCTGCATTTACTGACCCCTCTCCTGCCATCTCCTGGAGCTTCCACTGCTCTTTGATCTCACTTTAATCCCACCTCCACAGTGGCACTCACCATCTGACTCAGGAATGTACAGCTGGAGCTCTTTGAGGAACCCCAGGCACTTATTAGCCGGGGAGATAAAGACCTAGAAATTGGAGTCTTTGATTTTTTTGCAGAGTGGAGATGTCTGTGTGGCTATATTGCGTCTTTTTTTTTTTTTTTTTTTTGAGACGGAGTCTCGCTCTGTCGCCAGGCTGGAGGGCAGTGGCTCAATCTTGGCTCACTGCAATCTCCACCTACTGGGTTCAAGCAATTCTCCTGCCTCAGCCTCCCAAGTAGCTGGGACTATAGGCATGCACCACTATGCCCAGCTAATTTTTGTAATTTTAGTACAGACGGGGTTTCACCATGTTAGCCAGGATGGTCTCCATCTCTTGACCTTGTGATCCGCCTGCCTCGGCCTCCCAAAGTGCTGGAATTACAGGCGTGAGCCACCGTGCCCAGCCCCCCCACTTTTTTTTTTTTTTTTTTTTTTTACTTTTTCTAAAAAACTTTTTTTTTTTTTTGAGACAAGGTCTTGCTCTGTTGCCCAGGCTAGAGTTCAGTAGATAATCTCAGCTCACTACAACCCCATCTCCCAGGCTCAAATGATCCTCCCACCTCAGCCTCCCGAGTAGCTGGGACTACAGGCATGTGCCAACATGCCCAGCTAATTAAATCTTTTTTTTTGAGTAGAGACAGGGTTTCACCATGTTGCCCAGGGTGGTCTTGAACTCCTGGGCTCAAGCCACATGCCCACCTTGGCCTCCCAGAGTGCTGGGATTACAGGTGTGAGCCACCATGCCTGACCTATGTAACTTTTTAAATTAATTAATTTAATTTTTAGAGACAGGGTGTCACTCTGTTGTCCAGGCTGAAGTGTAGTGGCGGGATCATAGCTCAGTGTAACCTTAAACTCCTGGGCTCAAGTGAGCCTCTCTCCTTACAGGCATGAGCCACTGCACTTGGCTTATGTCTTTTTTATTTTAACAGCTTTACTGAGATAGAATGTACATATTTATATATAAAAGACATAATTCACTCATTTGAAGTGCACAACTCAAAGGTTTTTTAGTTCACAGAGTTGTGCAACCATCACCATCGTAGGTTTTATACGATTCTCGGCCGGGCGCAGTGGCTCACGCCTGTAATCCCAGCACTTTGGGAGGCCGAGGCGGGCGGATCACGAGATCAGGAGATCGAGACCATCCTGGCTAACCCGGTGAAACCCCGTCTCTACCAAAAACACAAAAAATTAGCCGGGCGTTGTGGCGGGCGCCTGTAGTCCCAGCTACTCGGCAGGAGAATGGAGTGAACCCGGGAGGCAGAGGTTGCAGTGAGTCGAGATCACACCACTGCACTCCAGCCTGGGCGACAGATACAGGCTCCGTCTCAAAAAAAAAAAAAAAAAAAAAGATTCTCACCCACAAAATAGTATGTTTTTCTTGAAGTAGCGCGCCCTCACTCTTGAGCGTGAAACTTCTGCCTTAATAGGAGCTGCGTATTTTGTTTCGCCCTCCCTGTGTCCCAGAGGAAAGTGAGTTGTTTTTATCCCAGTTAGGAGCCAGGCAGACCTCTCTGCACAGGACCACCTCTACCATCAAAAGGCTGGGCCCTGAGTTCTCTCCTTCTACATCAAAATTCATCTGGAGGCCGGGCGTGGTGGCTCATGCCTATAACCCCAGCACTTTGGGAGGCTGAGGTGGGAGGATTGCTTGAGCCTGGGAGGTCGAGGCTTCAGGGAGCCATGATCCTGCCCCTGCACTCCAGACTGGGTGACAGAGTGAGACTAACTCTTAAAAAAGATCACTTGGGAGGCTGGGGAGCCTGCTGGCCATTTCTACTTCTGGCCTCATAGTTTGTTCCTGTGCCTCTCTAGAAACACTACTTCCCCATCAACTACAAGATCAGTGTGCCTTACGAGGGGGTGTTCAGAATCGCCAATGTCACCAGGCTGGTAAGAATCCCTTCCTGGGCTGGGGGGACCCTGCCTCCTGCAACGTCCGGTGGGCCCAGCCTCAGAGGCGCGCTGGCATTGGCAGGTGGTGCTGCTGGCCTGGGGCCTCTCCTCAGCCCCAAGAGCAGCCTGGCCCTTGGCCCAGGCACACGTTTGTTCACTGTCCGCAGTGCACAGCCCTTGTCTGCTCCCTGTGCAGGGGCAAGTTCCTGGTGAGGGGCTGGTCAGATTGCTCAGAACCCAGAGGCCTGTGTCTCTGGGGTTGCAGTGACTTCTCTGTCTCCGCAGCAGAGGGCCCGGGTGAGCGAGCGGGAGCTGCGGTATCTGTGGGTCTTGGTGAGTCTCAGTGCCACTGAGTCGGTGCAGGACGTGCTGCTCGACGGCCACCCGTCCTGGAAGTACCTGCAGGAGGTGCAGACGCTGCTGCTGAATGTCCAGAAGGGCCTCATGGTGAGTCGTGAGGAAGGGTGGCAGGCGGGGCTCATGTGTGTGCACACGTGTGTTCATGTGTGTGTGTGAGCCTGCGCGTGTATGAATCTATGAGGTGTGGCCAAGGGCTGGTGAGGGAAAGGATGAACACACGGAAAGATGGGCACAAGCCGAGGGGCATGGGAGAAGTGGGGGAGGGGTGCAGGAAAAGAGGCCTGCGGAAGGAAGAGGCGGCCGTGGTGGCCACGAGAGCTGGGCTCTGGGGACAGGCGATGCCTCTGATCCTGGGCAAGTCATCGTACCCTCTTTGTTTGTGCAACACGAGGGTCCTGGAGGCAGGGTAGGGGGGAGAGGGGAAGAATGGATGGAGCACAGGGAATGTTTAGGGCAGTAAAACGCTGCAGGCTTGGCCCAGTGGCTCATGCCTGTAATCCCAGCCCTTTGGGAGGCCGAGATGGGTGGATCACCTGAGGCCAGGAGTTCAAGACCTGCCTGGCCAAATGGTGAAACCCCATCTCTACTAAAAATACAAAAATTAGCCAGGCCTGGTGGTGGGCACCTGTAATCCCAGCTACTTGGGAGGCTGAGGGGGGAGAATCGCTTGAACCTGGGAGGCAGAGGTTGCAGTGAGCTGAGATTGCACCATTGCATTCCAGCCTGGGCGACAAGAGTGAAAAACTCCATCTCAAAAAAAAAAAAAAAAAAAAAAAGGATGCTATATAATACGTTCACGGTGTATACATGACATCATGCATTTGTCACAACCCACAGAACTGTACAACAGAGTGTGAACGCTAATGTAAATTATGGACTTTAGTTAATTAAAAAAAAAAAAGAGGTCCCCCATCCCCGCCCTGCTCAGAGAAATTGGTCTGAGGCCTCAGGGATATTGGCCTCTAAAATGCCTGAGTTGTAGTAAAAAGGAAGGTGGCAAGATGACCCACGAGGGCCGTGTGTGCTATGGGGCCTCTCCCCGTCCCCACCAGCCCTCCTCAGAACTCTGATGCACACCTGTCCCGGGGACCCACCTGCTGCCCAGCCCAGCCAGCTGCTGACAAGGCCCAGCCTATGGGCAGAATTTCCCAGGCCAACTGTGAGCTTCCGATGGTGAAAGGGCTTAGGGACCAGCACCTGTTTTTGCAGCTGCCTGGAGCTTTCCTGGGACGAGACTGGTGGGGAGGCTCTCAATTTCTACAAAGTCAGGAGACTCCTTGATCTCCTTGGTGGCTCTTTTTCTTTTTTATTTCATTTCATTTTATTTATTATTTTAGAGATGGGGTCTCGCTGTGTTGCCAAGGCTGGTCTTGAACCCCTGGCTTCAAGTGATCTTCCTGCCTCAGCCTCCCAAAGTCCTGGGATTACAGGCATGAGCCACCCTACCTGGCCTCTGTGGTGGCTTTTTTTTTTTTTCTGAGACGGAGTCTCACTCTGTCGCCCAGGCTGCAGTGCAGTGGTGCAATCTCGGCTCACTGCAACCTCTATCTCCCAGGTTCAAGCAATTCTCCTGCCTCAGCCTCCCAAGTAGCTGGGATTACAGATGCCCGTCACCACACCTGTATTTTTAGTAGAGACGGGGTTTTGCCATGTTGATTAGGCTGGGCTTGAACTCCTGGCCTCAAGTGATATGCCTCCCTCCGCCTCCCAAAGTGCTGGGATTACAGGTTGAACCACGGTGTCTGGCCGTCTCGGTCTTTTCATGGCTTTCTGCCCTGTGTTTCCTTGTCTCTGTGACCTTTCTCTTACAAGGACATCAGGCATTGGATTTAGAGCCCACTCGAAATCCAGGATGATGTCCTTCTAAGATACTGAACTTAATTACCTCTGCAAAGAGCCTTTTTCCAAATATGGTCACATTCACAGGTACCAAGGGGTAGGATGAAGACACAGATTTTTGGGGGAGGAGAGGGACAATTTGGCCCAGGACATGCTGCCTGGGTGGTCGCCCCCTTCCAGAAGATCACCCCCACGTTTCCCACGATGCTTTCTGCAGTGGCCCTGACCTCCTATTCAGGGACTTCCTTCCCTCGGTGCCACGGTACACCCCACATGACCCTGTTGTTGCGTATCGTGGAGAGAAACCACACCAGCTTGGAGCTGGACGCCCTGCCCTGTGTATGTGACTTAAGCCTCAGTGTCCCTGTGAGGGCCTTCTCTTGTTCCTTGGAGTTGATGGAGGTGTTTGCTTCCTGAGGGACAGTTTTCCCCAGGTCAGGGGGTCCTCATGCAGTGGTGGGTGGCCGTGCCTGGGCGCGAGATACCCCACTTTCCTCACTGTCTTGGCCTAAGCCCTTTACTCATTTTTCCAAGGAAGGAAAAAAAGCAAAGCCTCTGAGTTGTGCATGGGTGAGAGGTGGCATCTGGGACCCTCCCCATGCCCATAGGAAGAAGATGGTGAGAAATAGCTATCCAGGCTCATAGTCACAGGATGTCTGGTCCTTCTTCCGGGGTTTGGGCAGCTCCAGGTGACTGGACAGCGCTCACGGCTCTCCTGGGGTGCGGCCCCATCTCGCCGCCGCTCCTGACGGTTTCCTCCTTTCCAGGATGTGGAGGTCAGCCCCAAGGTGGAATCCGTGTTGTCCCTCCTGAATGCCCCAGGGCCGAACCTGAAGCCGGTGCGGCCCAAAGCCCTGCTGGACAACTGCTTCCGGGTCATGGAGCTGCTGTACTGCTCCTGCTGTAAGGAGCTCTCAGGGGATGGGGCCTGGAGGTCGGAGGTTGGGCATCTGGGCCCAGGCCAGCTGGCAGGGCCGGCATCCTCCCGGGCATATCTTCTGCTCCCCAGGGCTACAAGCCATTTCTGGAAGCCAGGATGGGCCCTGGGTAGGGTGGGGGGACCAGCACACGTGGCTTGGTTTGGTGGAGAGGGTGGTCTTGAACACTGCTGCAGTCTTTTTTTTTTTTTCTACCCCTTGCAGGTAAACAAAGCTCCGTCCTAAACTGGCAGGACTGTGAGGTGCCAAGTCCTCAGTCTTACTGCCCAGAGCCCTCATTGCAATATGCGGCCACCCAGCTGTACCCTCCGCCCCCGTGGTCCCCCAGCTCCCCGCCTCACTCCACAGGCTTGGCGAGGCCGGTCAGGGCACAGGGCGAGGGCCTCTTGCCCTGAGCACTCTGGATGGTGACTGCAGATAGGGGCAGCCAGACCAGCTCCCACAGGAGTTCAACTGGACCTGAGACTTCGAGGGGTGGTGGTGAGACCCCCCTTGGGAGAGGACCCCGGGGAAGGGGGTTTTTCCTTTGAGGGGGATTCTGCGCCACAGCAGGGCTCAGCTTCCTGCCTTCCATAGCTGCCATGGCCTCACCTGGAGCGGAGGGGACCTGGGGACCTGAAGGTGGATGGGGACACAGCTCCTGGCCCCTCCTGGCACTGCCCTCACTGTCCCCCCGCCTGAAGGGGGTGCTGAGCCTCCTGTGGCCCGCAGCAGTGAGGCCACAGCCGTGGGTTGCAGGGAGACGGGCAGCACGACGTGGCCATTCTAGGACCCCCCAGGCTGGCAGACTGGGGAGCTGGGGGCAGAGGGCGGTGCCAAGTGCCACATCTAGCCATAGCGGATGCTCTTCCAGTTTCTTTTTTCTATTAAACACCCCGCTTCCTTTGGTTTGCTTTGCTTTGCATCTTCGGGGTGAACCTGGAGGGGATGGGAGGTGGCCAAGCGCAGGAAATCAATGGGGGCGGGGCTGAGGGTGTGGATTCGGAGTGGATGGAGCCTGCCCAAGGGATGTGGAATGAGAAGGATGCCAGGGATGGAGTTCTGGATCTGCCTAGCCCAGGGGCCTCTGTAAGCCTGGGTTGGGGGAGGCGGTGTTGGGCTGATCCCCTCGCCTTGACCCTTGCCATCCTCCCTCCCTCCCTCCATCTGGCTGCCCCCAGGCAGCCCCTAGCCAGGGACACCTGTGGGGCATTTCAGAGACCCAGGTCTGGCCCTGGCCCCCACATGGAGATCTGAGATCCTCCGGGAGCCCCCAGCCTGGCCCCCTGCAGCTGGGATCTGGGGTAGGAAAGGTGAGGTGTGGGGATGGGGCGGGAAAGCAGCCAGGCAGAGGCAGGGGTGTTAATTACAGTACACCTTTATTAATACTGGAATCTTCACAGTGCATCTGTTACTTGTAGCAGTGACTATTTAAATCAGGGAGAGGAAGGTGTGGAGGGGGCGGGGAGGAGAGGAGAATTTTTCCAAAATCTGACAGAAAGAAAAGAAACAAAATGGTTCGTATGGGATGGAGGGTAGGGGAGGGGGGGAAGGGTGAGTAGGAACCAGGAGGGCTGCCTGGGGTGGGGGAATAAATTAAGAAAAGGAACGAGTTAACAACAGCACCAGGAAAGTTACTTCAGTCAAAAGACGCTTTTGAAAAGAATATTTCTCTGTACAAAATGAGAAATTAAACAAACGTAAAGTCCCCCAAACCAAAGTTTGTGATGTGGGATGGTTGGCTCGGATCCCGAGGTGGGTGGGCCTACGAGGTGGTCGCTACGTCGACGCAAGGGCGGCAGGGGTGGTCTCAGGATGGACGAGGGGATGGGGTAGAGTATGTACAGCCCCCGGGGCTTGCAGGGGAGGGGCACGGCGGAGTTGGTGGGGGCTGTGCCACACGAGCCCCCCTCTCTGGGAAGCCCCTGCCTCCTTTCCCATCAGGACCTCTGAAGCCCAGGCCTGCCCACCCACTGCCCCTCACACTTTTCCCACCACATCCTGAATCCTGCTCCACCGCCCTGCCTCAGCAGACCCCTGCAGCCCTGGGGAGAATGTGCAGCAGAAATTCCACCCAAGACTCCCCACACTGGTCACCTGCTCTCCTGGCCCCTAAAACAGGGGCCCTGATGTTGGCCTGAGCTCCACGGGTTGAGTGCTCGGCCAGGCAGTTGTTGGACCTAGTGACTTACTTACAGGGACCATTCTCCATCAGCTCTCTCTGATGAGACTCCGTGCACACCAGGGCCTGCTTGGTGCCCAGACTTACCCAGGAGCTGCCCTGCCGGGGTCCCAACTCACCGCACAACAACTTCCAGGAGCTCAAGCCTGGGAGGCTCAGACCCAGCTCCACTCCATCAAGACCAAGGTGCTCCTGACCCCCAGGTAGGACCCTGCCCTGGGGCCACGATGCCCTCCGAGCCCTGCTTTCCCTCCTGACCTGCGGGGCCACCAGGACTTCCTCCGCTTGCCTTAGGCTCACGTGCTTTTACCTGCTGAGACTTGGCGTGACTTGGTGCGTGGGGTGGGGGCAGCTTTGCCCCCCCCCTGCCCCCGCTGCCAGCGCAAGCCTGGACTACAGTGGGGGCCGTCCTGGGATGGCATCTCCTCTGGCAACAGAGAGTCAAAGCCAATCTTCCCAGACTCGCTCCCCTACCTGGGCTTGCAGCTGGCTCAGACCACAGCAGACAGGCCGGGAGCCTCCCAACCCTATTTTGGCTACGCTCAAGACGCCAGAGAGAACAGTAGCTTTCCCAGGACTCTGGGGGAGCCAAGTCCCCCCCTTCTCCTCCTGCCATAGGACCACCAGGCCACGGGGGGGGGGCTGTCCCCCAGGTGCTCCCAGACACCCACCCTGTATCGTCCCCTCACCCCCACACACAGTCCTCGTCCACAGCCAGCTCCATTTTATTATATTCATAAAATGACCCCACACCTCCTACTGCTCCAGTCCCCTCCTTCCAAAGGTGGCTGAAACTGTGACCCCAAAGTTAAAGGATTGATGTACCCAATGAGAAGTGAACATCTGAAAACGGTGCCTGTGTGGCTGGCCGGTGACCCTAGGGCCTCCGGCCTCCTAACCCTGCTGCCCTAGTTTCCAAGGAACTGCCCTGGTCCCCTCCAGCCAGCCTCACGGGGTCGGGGAGGCGAGGGGCGGGAGCCACCACAGGGCCCCCGGGACTCCCCAGGCAGCCCCTGGTTTCCTCCCTGAGACTCGGCATGGGCCCTGGAACTCCCTTCCCACACGGGAGGGCCTGGCTGCCCAACTCCAACCTGCTGCCCTGGCCCCCAGCCCCCAGCAGACATCCAGCCCAGCGCACACCTGCCCTCCACAGCTGCTCTGCTTCCCGGAGAGAGAGGCCTGGGAGAGGCAGAGAGAAGGCAAGAGGGGAGGAGGGGGGCTCAGGCAGGGGAGAGGGGGCCAGCATTCCAGGAGGAGCTGAGGCAGGACCAGCCCTGGGAGAGGCCGGGATGGTGAGAGGGAGGCCAGCCCGGCCCCTCTGCTGTGGGCGGGGCCCTGGCCCTCGTGCTCACGGGTATGGAAGAGGCAGGGCCCGAGAGGAGGAAGAGGAGGGACAGAAGAGCATAAAACAGACCCCGAACCAGGCCCAGGCCTGCAGGCTCCGTCCCGGCCAGGCTTGCTAAGAAGTCACTTCCCGTTTAAATGCTGGAATCCAAGTGAGGTGTGTCTTTCTGTAAAGTGGCATGGCCTCTGCCCTGGTTCTGTCCTCTCTCTTGGCTGGGCCTTTGCTTTGAGTGCCTGCGGCTCACAGACCAGGCCACCTGCTCGCACTGGGGCCTGAGAGGATGGGGAGGGTGGCGCCATCATAAGATGCGGGGCGCCGACCTGTCGTTGGTGACGGTCCTGCGGAGCCGGACCCCACGCCGGATGGCCACCAGCATGTCTTCGGCCGGGGGGTCGCTGGTGGCAGCTGGGGGCGGGGTGGGTGTCTCCTCCGTGGGGGTGGCTGACAGAGCAGTGGGGAAGGGGAACTGGCCCTCGCCCAGTGCATGGGCACCCGCCACCAGCTCTCCCAGCTTCTCCACCAGACTGTGCCGGTTGGCCGCTAGCTGCTGCTGCTCGTCCTCGGCACCTGCCCCGGGGTACCCGGCTGCCTCTGGGGATGGGCTGCCCCAGGCTGTGTTGGGCAGGCTGAGCCTCTTTGGGGAGGCCTTGGCAAGGTCCGGTGCCAGGGGTGAGGCGGTCTCGTCGGTGTAGAAGACGCACTCCTCGCTGCCCGCCCGTGTGGGCCCCATGTAGCCGGGTGAGTCAGGCACCGTGGGCGTCTTCACAGGGACGATGGGCGGCCGGATGGGGATGGGGCCAGCGCTGGACAGGGCGCGGCGCACGGTAGGCTTGGTGGAGGGCGTGCGGCGGATGGTGGCCACGCCAGGGGGTGCGCCCGAGGGCAGGCCAGTGGCGGTGGGCAGCCCAGCAGTGGAGGCTGGGCGCTTGGTCTGGATCAGGCGACGGTAGTTCTGGGCGATGTTGCTGTTGCGCGGGATGGTGGATGACTTGTCAAACTCAGGCGGGCCCTCGCTGTCTGCATCCCCATTCACAGAGTAGCAGTCGTAGTCGGAGCCTGGGGGCATGGGACGCAGTAAGGCCGGGGTCCCAGGTGGTTCCTTGCCCCCAGCCCACCAGGGTGAGCACAGAGGGGGAAGGACGGGGCCCTCCTGGATGGCGAAGTCCCAGCCATCCCTGGTCCCACCCCAGCCCCGCAGGCCTGCCTTGGGAGGGAATGGTGTCCTCAGAGCAGGAGGGCGTGGTGGTCTGCGTGCTGTAGCCGCTGGAGTACTGCAGCGAGTCCCGGCTGCTCTTCTGGTGCTCCAGGCTCAGGCCGCGCGTCAGCACCATGGCGAGGTCACTGGCTGCGGGGGACACCTCCTCGCTGTGCTGAGGGTGGGAAAGTGCAGGCTGAAGCCTTGTGCCCCCAATCCCCTCTGCCCAAACTCCAGGCAGCCCTGCCAGGTGGTTGGAGCTGGCCCTGAGGCCACTGGCTGGGCCTCCTGGGACTAACCTGGAAGTGAAGGGGGACCCTGGCCGGCCTACCTTGGCCGCGATGGTGGCAGGGGACATCCGGGGTCGTGGTGCCTCTTCCCCACTGGGGCCCAGGGTGCCCCCACTGGCAGGGCCTGGCTCTGTGTCTCTCAGGAGCTCCACTCGGTCCTTCCTCCGTTGCAGAGTGGCGCCTGAGGGCTGCTCGTGGGAGCCAACCTTGGACCAGTCCTGCAGGGAGGGTGTGGCAGGTCAGGGGGACCCTTGGCCCTACCATCTACAGCCCGGGGGCCCCTCACTGTGGCTGAGGCTCATGGTGTCCAGGGCTATGAAGGGCCTCTGGTTCACAGTCACAGCCAAGGGCAGAACATGGAGTGTGACCGTGGCCCCTCAGTCCCACCAGGCCCAGGGGTAAGATGTGGCTGTGTGGGCAGTGACTGTAGGAGGTGGCCAGGCGGCTTGTCTCTTGGGGACAGGTGCTGTGTGCACGCACCCCTGGCTGAACCCAGGCCCTCTGTGTGGTAGTGGCACCAGGTGGAGAGGGCACGGATAGGAGGAGCAGCTGGTGACTATCCTGGGGCCGGGCTGGGAGCACTGACCGAGGTGGGGGAGCTGCACTCGCTAACGGACTGGCAGGTTTCCGAGGCCTCAGAGGATGCAGAGCTGGAGGACTTCTGCCATGCAGAGGCCAGCAGGCGGTTGCAGACAGAGGGGCCGGCAGGCAGCGAGGAGGAGAGGAGAGAACAGTTTTGGTCACAGAGCTGGCATGCAAGGGGGCGGTTCAATTCAGCACCTTGCCCAGCGCCCACCCCCCTACCCCAGGGCCACAGCCGCTGAGCATCTGCAGCAGGACACAGCAGCCCAGAGCGCACGCGATGGGCGCTGATGCACCCGACAGCCCAGCCCTGCG